TTGTTCTCAGCAACCTGATACAGCTCATAATATTTCAGATTCGCGGCATTCAAACCGACCTAGTGGTTCTTTGTATCGTTTCTCCTAACTTGGGTAAATTCATCCTTTTGAAAACCCAGCTTAACATCATGCCATAGGGTAGATTCTTTCTTGTTCTTTGCTTTAAAGTAAGCCATGTTCTTAAGTATCAAAACTGGAAAATTAATAGCCACGACCAAATCTCAACATAAAGGCAATGGTACACGTCCAACTACCAATCTCCATAGAGTTGTTCCTACACGGAAACAAGCACTCTTCTATCAACAAAACTAATAATTTCTTCTCCCCAGACAAAGCTGGGTCTCTCGGGGCAATACTCTTTAGGGAAGTCCTCCCTACTCCCGGTCATGTATCTCAAATACTCCTGATGTGTCAACCCCGCGTGGGCGACCCAATCGTCCCTGTCATACATATCCAATCCATCCAACGACAAGTTAAACCAATTTGACAGTTTTTGTGGTGTCAATTCTACTTTCATACCTCTCACATTAGAGACAATCGAAGTCACTTCCTTCTTATATTTTGTGGACAAATTCTCATAAAATTCAATCACTAAAGTCAGGATAAATTTCTTCTTGAATTCTTAGGAATTTCCTCAACAAACCTCGATTTTCCAATATGCTATTAAAATCTTCGGAAAAGAATTCGGGAAAATAGGTTTTACCTCCTATTACAGAGTAGGTAGGTGCTTCCTGACTTGTTCCTTCTACTTGTTGTTTTCCCTTCACCATTGTTGTTCAAGCTTATTGTCTTGATCTCGTTAAAATTGCAGTGGATGATCCAACTAATATTTTTCTCGTACTTAGAATGACTTGGGGAAGACACTCTTGAAGTTTTCTTGATGAAAGATGTTGATTTGGAGAAGATAGGTTTTTGGTTGAGGTTGAGGCAGTGTGTAGCGGTGAAGAGAGAAGAAGAAGATGATGTGAATTTGGTCTCTGCCTTGGAAAAATCAGCACAAGGGTTTTAGGGGGGTGGGGCTTGGCAGCGGCCTTCCCAATGGGCCGTGCCATGGTCCGTTGTCAGCGTAGCTGACACGGCCCCAGGTCACGGACCGTTACGTGTTCCGTGACCATGTTCCGTCTCATGGAACGGGCTCCGTTCCGGCCCGTGGCCTAGACCCGCCACGGGGTCGAGTAACCGGGTCGGATCCGGTTCGACCACAAATTGAAATCGGTCCTCCGCCTTTGTCAAATCTTCAAATCGGGTCAAAATTGGATGCAGTCCTCGACTTTAATAAATGCCAATTTTGTTGTCAATCCTTTGACTTTCAAATTCCTCCGGGAATTGCTTAAGTTAGATTCTTATCCAATTTCTTTCCTCGTTGTATCCTTCTTTTCTCGTTTTCACTTATATTTCAGTAACATCTCTCTTATTTAAACCTCAATCGTTTCCTAACGATTTTTCTTTTTCATTCTTACTCATATCTATTTTCATTCTTCTAATTCTCTTGTTCGTTAATTCATAGCATTCAAGTCTAAGCTTTTTCCCCAAAACTAACTCATTTAACTTCTAAATTCACAAAATTCCTAGATGACACATCTTTTAACATCTTGCAACAACTTGTAACAACTTCTCAAGCATGCACATCTAATTAAGCATTCAAGTAAAATCAACACACTCATTCCAAGTTAGAGTGTTACCTTCTCTAGATTGCGATCTCAGGCCTGAGTTTGTCCCATGACCATAATCCTTCTTGGTCCAGCCTCCTCCGGTACGTCCTTGTTGCGCTCCGCCCCGTCCGTGATTCCCATTTCTGTGCGGACCTTCTCTCGGTGGATAGCCATGTCCCATAGCTTTGATTCAGCGCCTGCGTTGAATCGGACCTCTGGGTGGCTGGCTCGGGATCGTACATGAGATGCCTCTATCCTCGGGGAACGACAAATAGCGGCTCTATGACCCGGCTTCCCACACCGGAAAGCAAACTACAGGCAATCCTCCACAAGTGGTCTTAGGATGATCTTTGCCACATCTCAGACATACCGAAGTCCCCTCTCTCGGTGGTCCTCCAGATCCAGCTCCCTGTCTCTTAGTCATGTTCCTCCTTTCCCCACCTCTATGGTCAAGCCTGCCCGTCGGATTGAACCCGTGTCCCTTATTCGACTGTGCTTCTATCCCTCATTCTTTTTCTTCATCCCTTGCATGGCGTCGCGATGCAACTGTTGAATCCTGAAGTAACCAGTAGCTGCCCTCATAAGCTTCATTCAATGTATCAAATCTCGCCGCGGAGAAGGATTTCTGAGCATCAAAGTGCAATCCTCGGATGAACTTGCGAGCCCTACTCGCCTCATCAGGTACCAAAGTAGGAGCAAATCGAGACAATGCCACAAAGCGGGCATGATACTCCTGAACGGTCAAACTTCCTTGCTCGAGTGCCAAGAATTCCTCATACTTGGCAGCCTTGACATGCTCTGGGTAGAATCTCTCTCGCATCACCGTCTTGAACATTCCCCAGTCAAACCCTTCCCTTGCCTGGACAACCAGTCCCTCCATGACCCACAATGGTCAGCCTCTCCCTGTAGATAGTATACGACAGCCTCTACTCGCTGATCCTCTGGGCATCCTACCACGTTAAACAACTTGTCGAACGTGCGGATCCAACCCTCAAGAACTTCCGGATCCTCCTGACCCAAGAAACATGGTGGATTGCGTCCTGTGATCTTTCTGGACACGTCACTGCCACCGTTATTCCCATTGAGTACGGCAGCTCCTATGGTCTGGGTTAACTGGGTGAGCTGGCGCAGACTCTCAGTCAAATCCGTAGATGACGACGCTCCAGGTCCTGAGGAGCGAGGAGATTCCTCTCCGACTCTTCGCGCGGCATCGTGAAACCCTTCGTACATGACCAAGAACAGATCATTCTTGTTAGCACGACTAATAAGTTAGCTAATTCTAACTTCTCTATTCTTAAGACAAACTTGCAACAAGCAAATCACGCAAGGCAACAAAGGCATCTCTTATCATCTACTTTAACAACTTAACAAAATAACTCATCTTCTAAGCTTTAACTCTCAAACTCTTGGTTTTTCTCTTTCAACTTCTCTCTTTACTTCTCTACTTTACTCGAAACATATAACAACGCATAACAAGCACATTGATAAAATCACATAAGCAAGACACAAGTATAAACTCTTATACTCTTTACATTAGAACTTTTACAAGGCTTCCACTTTCAAACTTTAACTTTCAAATATCTCAACTTTTTAACTTTCACTTTAACTTCTCACTGAAAACTTCTCTGCTTCACTTTCAAAAGATATATAAAAGCACTTTAAACACATTGATAAAGCACAAAACATATAAGCCAAGCCACAAAGGAACTCACGACCTCACCGCGTTCCTAACTGATACTTAGAGTTTCTCTTAACTCTGATTCTCATACTTAGTCACTGGACTTAGAGTCTTTCTTATCTCAATCTTCATAACTTAGGGTTCTTTCCCTAATCTTATCCTTCTTAGGATTTCCACTTAATGTTCTCTTCTTATCTAGTCTTTCTTAAGACTTCAACTTAGAGTATTTCCACCTAGGACTTTCACTTAGAGTTTCTATACTCAATCTTAAGGATCAAACTTTCTAAGTCTCCCGCGGTTCGTACCGCTCTGATACCAATTTGTAACACCCCACTTTTCTAACTCTTAATTATACCTCTAAACAGACATTAAAAAAAAACTAAGCAGCGAAAATATTAACCAAAAGATAAATAGTGGAGTGTCACCGCCACAACCACCACTCTGTGGTGATTGCACAGGCTAAAGGGTAAAACTAAAAATAAGATAAAATCTGGTATCTAAATAAAATACTGGAAACATAAGGGGGAAAAACGTCACCCCAAAAGTCTACAACATCCTCAAAAGAACATAAAGTTAATAAGTCTAATCATCAAAATATGATCATCAATCAATCTAGAGTTTAGACATCTCTAACTACGAGACTAATCTAACTCGACTTCTTCACACTGCTGGGGTCTACCTGAAAGGGATTTTGCAAGCAACACATAGACAAATAGGAAAACACCCCGTTAGCACGAAGCTAAGTATAACCACACTCAACCCTGTAAAGTACTATAGAGTATACTTTGAAAACATTTGCTTTCTTTATAAATAATAACTCAATCTCAAATCATCTTTAAATTTGTCACACTCTATCTAGATGCTTGCACCATATTATATCAGTTGGCATGCTCATATATATACATAAGACTGTTCACTTAGATTCAACAACATAATATTTTCTCAAATAACTTATCAAAACAATTCATACTTACAGATAGGATCATGCTAATAAACCATATAACAGGTATACTCATGCTTTCATATTCTCATCTCATAATTCGATAAACAAGACTACTAATACAACAAAACAATTATAAATCAACATTCACATTATGTACTCTCATGCCATACTTTACTCGAATGCAATCTTGTGCAATGCTATAATCATACTCATGTGCAACCTCGTGCAACAATATACTCATACTTATATGCAATCTCGTGCAACAACATACTCATACTTATGCGCAATCTCGTGCAACAATATACTCATACTTATATGCAATCTCGTGCAACAATACACTCATACTTATATGCAATCTCGTGCAACAATATACTCATACGTATATGCAATCTCGTGCAACAATATACTCATACTCATGTGCAACCTCGTGCCAAACAATATACTCATACGTATATGCAATCTCGTGCAACAATATACTCATACTTATATGCAATCTCGTGCAACAATAGAGTACTTTCTGTGGAGGTCTCTTTCTTTCTTTCTTTCTTACTATTGAGTCTCTCTTGACTCGCTTTCTTTCTCTTGAGTCTCTCTTGACTCGATTTCTTTCTCTTGAGTCTCTCTGACTCGTTTTCTTTCTCTCGAGTCTCTATTGACTCGCTTTCTTTATCTTTTCGCTCGTAGACGGCCCAGGGGTTTCACCGTAGCGTGAATTGCCCCATCGGGAATGGCGTAAGTCCGACCCAATATCTCCTACTGTCTACGGAACCAGTCTCGTGGTTCACACGCTGCGGAATTAGGTATCGAACTTTCAGTGTGCACACCCCCTACCAGGATTCCAAGCCTGGCTGGTAGTTTCCAACCTCGTAACGTGGGAATACTCCGCGTTACATGTACTAGGACCGCAATGTCCATAACAATCATCCGAGAGGACATAGTCCAAACGGGTTCTCCAAAAACCTCACCGATATAGATAATACATAAATATATCTCTCATGCATCAATCTTATGCATGCAACAACTTTACTACTTCTCAAATTCATCAAAGAATGCTATACACATGCTCATGATTTTCGAAAATAATACTTGGGCTCACGTTGACCCCTTATGCATTTTTGAAATATGACATATGTGAGATGCCAAAATGCTCTATAACATGCTTCTAAACCATGTATGAAATAACATGAAATACTTAAGAATATAACGTCATGCTCGGTTTGCAACATAGCAAATTCTATTCATTCTATCAACAACATGTGCTTCATTTCACACTGATCAAATATCACAATCTAGTCATGCTTTCATAATAAATCATATATTCTCAAATGATCATGCTTCTTTACTCAATAAAAACATCATCAGATCACTTAGTCAAATAATTCTTCATACACAGTGAACTAGCAACTTCCACCATTTTCTTTACCACCTAAACACCCCAAACATCAACAACAACTAAGCCTAAGAGAACTCAAAGAATATAGGCAAATAGGGCATCAAAACAAAGGGAGTAGATGAATGGTGGAGAATAGAACTTACTGTGTTTCTTTATTCTTTCTAGAAAACAAGGTTGGGAGAGGCAAGGGAATGAGATCAGGGATTTAATGAGGAAGAAGGTGTGGTTTTATAGGGTGCAAAAACCCTAGGGGGGCGTTTGGTTCGGGTTATATAACATAACCAAGGGAATGTGACATTCCAAAGCTCACATTCCCGGTGTTTGGTTCATATTATCTTAGGGAATCTAACATTCCCAAGGAATGTTACATTCCCTCCACATAGGATTTTGAAGGGAATGTGATTCCCTTCAAAATCTTAGGTAATGTAAGATAACCTTGGTTATGTTAGTTTATTATATATATATATATATATATATATATATATATATATATATATATATATATATATATATATTTTATTATGTTATGTTAGCATATAAAATAATTTTGTTTCTCAAGTTCAAGATTTTAGTTAATATTTTAAAATCATGTAATTATATATGATACTGTTATCTTATTTATTTATTTTAATAACCTTAAACCAAACATGATTATATTACATACCCCAATTTTAACCAAACACAGGAATCTAACATTCCAGTAATCTAACATTCCCAGCAATCTAATATTCCCTAAGGTAATCTGAGATTCCGTAAACCAAACGACCCCATAAGGTAATCTTACATTCCGGTAATCTCACATTACCTTCCTGGAGGTAATCTTATTACCTGGGGTAATCCAAGATTCCAGTGAACAAACGCCCCCTAGGAGATTCTCCATGATTGGTGGAGGGAAAATGGTAGTTTGCGTTGATTTTCTAAAAGCATCAGACCAAGGCTAAGAGGTTTGTGGTTCACCAAGCAACATGAACCATAGACTAGAAATGCTATTTTAAATACTTTGGGGTTGAAAATGAATTTTCTCAACAAGCTAATTAGATGAACCCTTATTTAAAATCTTTTTGAATACTCCCGGACACGGTCAGATAATTTCTCGATTAAAATCTTGGTACGCGAAGTACCCAAAAATTTAGAAATTTTCGAAATAGAATCAATTTTGGTGTCAAATTAATTTAAAATGTTGACGAAAAATAATTTATTCAAACACCAATTAATCACAGAATTTTTTAATGTAGTGAAAATGACTATTTTGAAATTTCTTAAATTCCGGATTTAAAAAATTGAAAATTTTGGGTTGTTACAACACATCCGTTTAAGACATGCCGAAATCTAAAAATTTTAAGGTTATTTTCGTCCTTTTCAACTTAAGATCCCAATTTGAGCATGAATAAAGATATTTAAGTCCTAAGATCAATCATATCCCAATTCGCAATTCTCCTCCTCATCCTATCTTAATTGAGGAGGAGAACTGCGAATTGGATCGATCTTAGAGCTGAAATTCCTTTATTAATGCTCAAATTGAGATTTTAATTTGAAAAGGACGAAAATACCCTTCGTAATTTCATATTTTAGCATGTCTTAAACGAAAGGGTGACCGGCGCGATGAATTTTAGCATTAAAACAATAGTCGTGGATGAAAATTGGTAGGAATTAAACATGTAGATCAAAACTGTCATTTTGCTAATACTCGTGACTCGTGAGACCAAAATTGGTATTTGTTCAAATTATTATTATTAAAGAAGATAAGAAAATATATGGTGAATGCATGTGCATGGTAACAATAGTGCACAAGATAACGGAAGTTATAATGGTAAATGTATGTTTGTCCAAAATATTATATAGTACAACTTTCATAACATAATGTATTAAACATAATGTCAAAAAATACACCACACAAAAAAAATACACCACACATAATGGTGTATTTACGAACACTGTGTGGTGCATTTTTGCATATATATATATATATATATATATATATATATATATATATATATATATATATGGAGTGGATCATGTGCAAATATAACTTCCCGTGCAGTAACACAAAAAGACGCACCTTTTAAACATTAAATTGAAACACCTTAAATACATAAACCATACACCTTAAAAACATAAATCACACACCTTAAAATACAAATCACGCCACTTAAAGTTTTAAAATTATTCCCCTTAAAATTTTAAGAATTGATATGGGTGAGGATATGGTGTTCGGTCCATTATTTGGTCGAAACGTGTAGAGGAATAGTGTAAGGGTTGGGAGTGTGAGCATTGGATAGCACGCGAGCGAGGTACGATTCCTACAGCAGTGTGAGCATCATTGACCCTTTCATTTACTTTGCTTTTTGTTGCCCAAATATTTTCAGGATATTACCGTGTACTGTGTATGTCGTCACTGCACCTTCCCAATTCAATTTTATATGCGGTCTTTCCCTCTCCACTCTCCACTCTCCACTCTCCACTCCTCCCAAGTCCCAACAACTCACTCTCGACAGCTCTTCCCAACAACAACTCATTCTCAGGTTCCTCTCCGGCACTCTCAGGTTCTTCTCCAGCAACAACTCGCGTCAACATCAACATCAACAGACCATTAAGACTCAGGTAATTTAATATTTTCATACATTTTAATTTAATTAATTTTATTAATTTCTGATTTTTTTATTCGGTCTTAGGGCTTTTTAATGGATCTACGTAAGCAAAATGAGGAGCTATCTGGCTGCAGTCTTAATGATCTGGGACGTATGATAAAGGAACAAGAAAGACAACTTACTGCTTTACTTGAGGAGCACCGCGGCGTTTGGCCGAGTTAGAGATGCCACTTCAGCTGCATGTTGAAAGGCGTTGACAATAGCCAGAAAGTACTGCGAAATAAAAAGCAATCGGGATGAGATAACTGCGCTTAATACTAAATTGGAAATTGTCAACCAGGAAATCGATAAAATCATCAAAGAGGGGAAGCGGTTGGAAGTCTTAAACGATGAGGCGAAAGGCTTCCTTGCCAACTTACAACAAGCTTTGGACGATTTGGTGAACTTATCACGATCTACATAGGCTTTTATGCCCTAGGTAAATTTTAGTATACTTATCTCTAATTTACTTTTCATTAATACTATGAACTATTCAATACTTTTTATTTGAATTACATCAACAATAAATATTTAATGTTTGGTGGTTGATTTGGATTAAGATTGAGATTTACTTTTATTTTATACTTTTAACATAACATGAATAGGATTCTCATAATTGATTGAACTAGAAAAAAAAAATTCAAAAATCACATGAAGCGAAATTTGTATAGGCTTAATGTTTATGGGCTGGGTAATATTTGTTAGAACTCTATTATTATTATTGTGTTATATTAGAACTCTATATGGATGCGTATGCTTTTTGAGAAAACTTGCTTCCTTTTAATTGTTTATGTGTCAAGCAATACTACTTGGGTTTTGTAAATCCCTAGCCTCCATATTTATCTATGTTTTGAAAATGCCTAATATAATACATAATATTTTGTCTTGAATGCTTTGTGTTATGCATACAATAATTTAGATTTGAACTTTAACTTTTGTCTTGGAAACTCTTTGGTTTTGGCATGCTTTACATGTTAAGTTCTTATCGTTTAATTATTTCAAAAAAATCATCATTTTTCGTCTAGTGTTGTCTAGAAATGTCTAGTAAAATCCTTTGAAAACATACTACTAAAACTTTTTGTTAACCTTTTCAAAACATACGAGTACCAAAACCTATTTCCAAAGTATATTTTATTTTCTAAACTAAAAATGTACTTATTTTACGGGACAAAGTGATTCTTACTTTATGCTAATTGCTTGTTTTTTGTGTTTTTCAAACTTAACCCTTTCCAGGTTTGGATGCATGGATGCATGATGCACTGTGAGACTTGTAGACTTTTGCTGTGGATTTCTGTAGTGTTTCTTGAGGTTCTATGGGATTGTATGATGCTTAATTAGACATTTGGGTCTTTGAACCCTTGTTTATGTTTAGCATGTGTGTTTAATTTGTTTGGTGGATTTAGCCGGCAGCTACCTAGGAGTGGATAGTTGTGACGGTAACACTAGCCGTGTTATGATTATGAATTCTAATCTTTTATCTTATTTTAATTTAATGAAATCCGTTTAGCTTATTCTGATGCATAAGTTTATAATTAATCTATATAATCTATAGAAATAAAGGCCGAAGATCTTCACCAGGAGCTCTCTAGCCTTCCTGGAAGTAGGAAGACCTCCTTGCCATCTCAAGGCTTATTTATAAGGGTGGTATGGTCCGACTTGTTTTCCTCAACCCATTGTGCCATTTAAGTATGTACCCTTCCTCATGTTCTACCTCTTTTTGAACATGATCCTACGGTTGACTGGGGGGACAGTGTCATACTGTTCCTCTCTGTTTAGGGCATTCTCAATGGATTTACTTTTTTCCCAACCCATGTTAACAGAGCTCATAAAAAAATATAGCAACTTTAGTGGTCATGGATGTAAAAATTTAACGAGTCACGGAGTGACCAAATGTTTACTGAAAGAAACCTACTAATAATAATGATTGTACAGTTTTTGTAATGTTATGATTTTATTATTTTACTGTCTTAATTGTATTTTTTTTTTAAAAAAAATAATCTTTAACCCAAATACATCTATGTACTCTCAACTTATATTCCTACTTGTATTCAAATTTGATTGGAGAAAGAAAAAAGAAGTGGATAAACATCAAGTCCTCCCTGTATACGTGCAGCAATTAAAGCATGCCAAATCATTCGAAATACATCTCTCTCT